AACCAATTTGGAGATATTGACTTAGCTTGCCCAATCGGCTTTCTTTCTCTCAGAACCAATTTTGAACTATTGAATCAGGCAGTCAAGTCTTATTTGTTTCTCTCGGAGCCAATTTTGAAGTATTGAATCAGCCAACCTATTCCGATTTGTTTCTCTGGGAAACAATTTTGAGATATTGATTCAGGCAGCTCACTCGGTTTTGTGCCTCTGGGAACCAATTTTGAGGTATTGACTTAGGCGGCCCAGTCGGCGAACCAATTTTGAGGTATTGATTCAGCCGRTCAAGCCTGCTTTATTCGATTTTCTCTTGGATCCATTTTTAGCTTATCAAAGACAAAGTTCCAAAGAAAYAATGCACTCCACCTAGGTAAAAACCATCATTTGAAAACTACCTATGGTCACGACCATTTTCTTATCCTATCGATACTGCTACGAGAGAAGCGTTTGATCGTTTCCATAGTTTTATAAGACTCGTGCCTAACTTAACTATGCGATACATCAAAGATAATCTCAAAACGTTAAATACTCAAACAATCAATTTGTTACCATTCAACGACGTATGACTTGCGAATATATGTCATCGACTATCGATGGAGTATAAAAGATACCGCAAAAAAAAAATATGGATGAATATCGCCATTTTTATGATAAAAGATAAGAAGAATAGGAATAAAAATAAAAATAAGAATAGAAATAAGAATAAGACCATCTTTTTTCATTATTTTTTAGAACACAATGCCTGATATCACTCCATTTGTTCGTGTTTCATGGTAACTCTTCCTCTATTTACGAAATCAAATCGATAAAAGCATCTTATATACAAAAAAAAAATCCTTATAAAACAACATTATCAAAATGTCAGTCACTAAAAATCAATCAATAATCCTTTGAGTTCCTTTGTACAATTCACCTTGATTCATTCGACACAATCCGCCGCTCCGGCAAAGTAAAAGACTTTCTCTTGGTGGGACGCTACCAATGGCAGTGACATTTCCCAGGTCTCTAACGTTGCATCCCAACAGTTGCGATATCCTTTTTGCAGGCTTCCAACCCTTTGCTGAAAACCTTTATACTGATCAAGAACTTTGAATATACATGGGAAATCTTCGACTGGTTCTCAAAATATCTCTTCAAAATAAATGAATTTGAGCGGAAATTCACCGTGTAACTAAAAAAAAACTACTCCATCCATAGTCGATGAGATATATTCCTAAGCAAGTCATTCGTCGTTGAATGGTATCAAAGTGTTTAAAGTTTTTTTTGATTTCTATAAACAATAAATAAAGCGAAAAAGTCACCCCATTTTAGAGTATGAGGACGTACTTATTCTGAATGTTTGCGGTTTCCAACTAAATATGTTAATTTCTTTTAACACGGAAATCACTAATCAGAAAAAGGATTAAATGGAAAGCAAACTATGGTTGTGGTGATATTTTAACCGAAAAAGAAAGTTGTTATTAACCATTATAATGAATAAGGGAAAAAGAACAATAAAAATCTTTATAAAGCAGGGAAAAAGGAAAATGTTAAAATTATCAATGAAAACAATTTTCAATTTTTTGTGCTGCGTGGTCTCGATTTTAGACATGTGTTGACATTATACCTGACAGCTTATCAAGACTTTCCATCCTGAACAAATATATCGCCGTGAT